AAATAGTTGATAACTCGATATTCAATAATTTTATTTATTTTCTGGGTGATTAACTATCAGCTGATTTGACAAAACTAAATGAAACTGTTGTCTAGGTCAACGTAGAAATAAAAACTAGTCATAGAATCATTTAATTTTGTCTGAAAAGAACTAATTATGTATGTATGTACGTAGAACTAATCAGGAGTGGAATGCTTGCCAGAAGAATATTGAGCAGATTAAAACGAAGAGGATAGAGAAGAAAACTGAAAGCAATCAGAATAATAACAAAGATGAAGGAGTGATGAAGTTTGTAAGAGGGGATTCAAAGATGTGTAACTGATATACTTAATATATGCTTATCATATTTTGTAAAATCACAATCAACTGTTCATTCCTACCAAGTCTTCTTTCGCTATAGTAAGAGTAAAATAGTTATCTCAGTGAGCTAAACATCTTAACAAATATTTATTTGTTCTTGTCTTAATTATACGCTTTACAGAAAGGATTTTTTATTAAAAGTTATTATAGTCTGATTTCATAATGACAGGATTAAGGCTTTTTTAACACATAGATTTCTTTCCACTTTTGAACTGTACACTGTTTATCTTTGTAAAACAAATAGGATGATCTGAATTTTATGCCAAAGAGGTTTGCTGTTATTTCAAAGTATTTAAGCACCAACCATTTGACTAATCACGCGTTACTCTTGCTATGTCCTACTGAAGATTAAATTAAAGGTAACTTCTGAAAACTACCAATGTATTGAAATTATATATATACTGTTTAACCGTTAAGTAAGTAGATCATGTATATCTATATTCCTCTTGTTGTAAGCTTCATTTTTACCTATAGATTATTATTATACGATTTACTGTCCTTAAGTTATGTTCATTTTGTTGATGACAGTCTCTCACGTTCACAGCCACTTTTTGGCTTGATCTTTTATAAATGTTATTTCCTATTTTATGGTGTGATGCGGTCTGCTTGGCTGGTATACAAACAACGTATGTTTGAAATAAATCTTTTGCACGGTGGAAGTTGTTATTAGTGTTCTGGAGTCAACTGGATGGGCTCAGCGAGCAAAAGACTAATAAAAATGCTGCTCATACCGGTCAAACGTCAATGTTTTGGCACAGTACTAAGATTGCATAAGTCGCATTTCAATTGACAAATAACTCACGTGAAAATTAGCCGGGCTTAGAGTCACAACAACTCTGATCAAAATTGAGAAGGCTTTTAGACAGAACAGTTAAAAGATACTGGTGATTATGATATTCTGTAACAAAATTCAAAGAATTCACAAGGAGTAGGGTATAATTTCTAAAGTGAATTCATTTGGTCAAAATTAAGATATTTTTGGTCTCATCTCAAATTGATCCAGCAGAAAACTTTATTATAGCTAACACTTTTTAACAGATGAATTACTTGAGCACTCTGAAACAATTTACTACTTCACAATTTTAACAGATATGCGTTTTTGTATTTGAAACTTCACATATACTTTGGTGTATGCTACTGATGTTGATAGATATAGGTAGTATATATCGTTAATCGAAAGTAAGACAGAAGGTTAAGAAGATCGAGAGAAAGAGAACGAGAATGGAGAATGATTAGTAAGGAAAACAAAAAATAATCAAGTCTGAGACGATTGATTGACATTTTTCAAATGAAGTATATATTGTATGGTTCTCAGATTTTACTAAGATATCCTTTAATTTCATATTCAAGTATATTCGAATGTTCCCACTTGTGTTCTTGTTCACTACAATACTATTGTGATATGTGCTACTTATATTGACATAAGTAGTAGATAATATTAGTCGTGAACAGAATGTCTGGCAGCAGAGAGACAAGAGGATGGAACAGTAAAGAATGGAAACAGAATGCAATTTGTATGAAAATGCAAGAACATTGAAGTTTGAGTGATTATGAAACGATTGATAAACATTTTTTAAATTCCGTATTTACTATTTGATTGTTAAATTTTATTAACAAGGCCTGTAATTTTGTGTTAAATACATTTGATTGTTCCCACTCGTGTTCTGTTCACTACACCATCTTCAGTTTTGGTTAATGTGATATTTTAACTGTGAAAAATTAGAATCAATGATATATCATTTGATATTAATTAAATATATGAGTAGACAATTTATATTAAGGAACATGTGATGTCACACTGTAGTCATTTCTCGATCAATTTAAATGAAAAACTGAATTTTGTTTTGTTTAAATGAAAATAAAAATTGTGTAAGTTAAATATAAAATTTGTTAATGAACTTGAGAATGTATAAAAAGTGAAATAGTATTGTGTGAGATAAAATCATAATTCACATTAGTTTTTGTAATGCAATCAAAATTTATATTCACATAAAGTATATGCTACAATGTTACATCATTTCACTTAGTGAAATAGTGGTGATCAATGTTATGTATGTCAGGTCCTTCTTAGTGCATATCGAATCCATCAGGGAACATCAGTTCATTCAAGATTATAGGTACATCTTGCTGACGAGTGCAAAGTAGCATGAAACCGAGGTTCAGGGTTTCTTATTGACTAACTTCAACCACCATTTTAAATACATAAATATCAAAATGTGTCCGATGGATGAAGTATGTTTCCATAACTTCAATTCCATGTTGTAATTTTATCAATTTTCAGGATTGACTTTTAATTTAGCCAATTTATGATCTGGTTTTATATTTGTATGTAGCGACAATTTTTAATTTAAATTCTAAATACAATAACTTTGATTTGGGCTAATGAAGTTCTTTTTAACTTGAATACTAACATATCGTAACTACTTGAGTACGAATTTGGCAGTTCTGCAAATATATAGTTAACATATTAAATTCGATTATAACTACCTTAGCATAAGTGTGAACGAGTCCTAGTTATCACATTCTATAGCACTACAGAGAAACGTGATTCATTAAAAATAAAGCAAATAAGTGAAAATGATATCAACAACAATAGAAGACTAAACAGAAATTTTTTTTATTTCCGATGGCAATCAGTGAAATCAATGATAAAAAGTTTTTAATGACTGTGATCCAAAATTTCGAAAACAAATATAGTGACTAAATGTAAATGTTTACTGAAAGTGTGCTTCCATTCATAATTTCAATCATTATGACTATAAGTACTGCTTTCATTAATTTGTTGATAACAAGAATCTTTAAACAAAACACACTTCCAATCATTCTGTTTTATATTGATTCTAAGAGATACGTATCAAAATGGACAATCATTTTATTAAAATGTATGTTATTTAACTAAGAATTATAATTCAAAAGAAGCTCAGCCTTAAGAAAGACTTGGAAAATTACTTAATCCTAATATCTTACTTAAAGCTTGTGTTTTATAAACTATATCACAAAATTTAAATTCTATAACTAATAAACTATAGAACATTTTTATCCTAACACTGTTAATAAACTAAACTGTCACTTAAAAATAAATGTCATGACAACGGTTTGTAACCAGATGGTAATTGATTCTCTTCACGTTTTCTTATATCGTCAAAATCACAGGCTTTTACATAATTATTTATAAAAGATAGCTCTTATATTTGATGTACAGGTTCATGGAACCCTGGTCAACTTCAAAGCTAATTAATCAGTAGTAATCTTGGTTATTGAATGACTTCATTTGACTATTGTACTTACGACCTTTCGTAGTTAAATGTAATTGTCTCTGCTATCTTTATTCACAAATCCTTGTATTATTATTATTGTTGGTTGAACATCATTATGAATCTCCCCTATACATGATTTATTCACTTCGCATTCGACCATAGTGTTTGTTTATATGGTTTAAATGAAAAGAATAAAAAAACGAAATTGAATAACTTGAATAGTTTTTGTGAATGCAATAATAAGTTTCAAGCTTAATAAAAAATTGATGAAGATATAAAATTCATATCTAACACTTGAGATTTCAGTTTTTTGTTTAACTATACATATGAAGAACTTACTGCAGTGACCCCAATATATAACCGAACGTTATAGCAAAATATATGGAATCGTATAAAACGTTACTATTATAGCTATTTAAGCTGAAATATTACGGCATGATATTTGGAAAGGCCCTGATTGAAAGCGATGCCCTCTATCTCGACTTTTTGTTAATAGTTCAAATATGCCAAATTAAGATGTTTAGACTATAGGATATTTCACGTCGAATGGAAGTAAGTAGGCGATAATCTATGATATGGGAAGAAAATGAGCATATTTTAAGATCTGAAAAAGTAGTCTTATTATTTCCTGGAAATCGTTTTAACTTATACATAACTTAGACCACTGCTCTCAGACTGATCTTAATCTACAAAGATGTTGATTGTGCTAGTTAAGTAATAGAACATACTTACTACATAACTTGATAGGGTAGTATGTTTAGTTTTAATTTATCGTTTCTGAAAGAATTATTGATATAAATAAGTAAAACATTTATAGTCCTCCCTTGTAGACAACATGAATTTCACAAGCAATTAGCATAGTCTACTAATGTAACAAATAAATAAATTTTCAACAAGGAAACATAACTGTCGTCGATTTCAATATTTCTGTAGGAAGTCAATATCATCCTATGACAGAATAATTATTATATCATCAATATCATTCTGCCCACGTTGACCTAGAAATTATTTAATATCAGGGAACAAGTGGGTAAAACGTATATTTTTTTATTAAGCTTGTCCATTAGGAAAATATATATATAGAAGAGACATATGTATCTTCACATTTCATTCTATCCTATAAGAATAATATTCATTTAGCATGTAACTTATGATTGGTTAAAAGTTTTGTGACTTTACAATATTTCGTGTATTACATATTTGGTATAGAACAACGAATAACATTGATTTACAAGTTATGATAAATAGGGAATAAAAGCCTTGACTTGGAAATAAAAAAACACACATTTCATATCATTAATTGTTTTGTTTGTTTGTTTGTTTGGTAATAGTTGGAGTTAACTAATAAATTTTATTATTTCAATTTTTAAATCATATTCTATCATGTCAACAATGATGTGTGCAAAATGTGCTCGACCATTTACAAGTGGAAGCATATTAAGTGCATTAGATAAAAAATGGCATCCTGAATGTTTTGTATGTACCATTTGTAAAAGAACATTAGCTGATCAATCATTTCATGTGAAAAATGATGATCCATTTTGTGCAAATTGTTGGAAAGAAAATTTTCAACCACGTTGTGCTGTAAGTTAATTTAGAAAAATATTTCATAATAATTATTTTTGTTGTTGTTATTATTATTGTTTCATGAACTATACTAACAACTATTGGAATTTAATTCAGTCAAAATGAATCTAGTTTTCAGTTTATTCAATATAGTTAATTCGAATATATTGCTGTATATGGAGTAGAAATAGATTTTAGATACATTTTTACACTGTGTAGAAGTATTAAATTTACTTGATGTTGTTTACTTGTATCTTCTCATTGTCCTGGATTCCACTGCTAGTCACTATTCATCTTTGCTTGTGTAGAAGATTTGTTATCGGACTAGGATTGATCTCGAATAAAGTATTGGTTTCTTTTTTTAAAAATGTTATGTTTATTATTATTGTGTCATAATGTTATAGTGGTCTATTTTAATCGAGAAATATATGTATATCACTCTTCTGGTTGAACTCGTTAACTAACCTGTTCGAACTTATGTCATAAAATACATAGAATTGGATTCATACTTAAATGTTATTGGTTATGTTTTCTAATGAATATGTTTATTGTTTGATAGTTCCTTTAAGCAAATAGCCGGTAATTTAAGGTTAGTTATATATTATCATATAAAGGATAATGATTAGTTCATCGTAATGCCTTAGATATAAAATTACTTAATAAAACAAATACAGGAATACAGATGTTTAAATTGAGTTCTTTTGGAATATTCTACAGGTTACATTTTAGCTTCACCATGAATAATACACTAACAAGTAATAAGACATCATCACGTAATGTACTTCAGTTGATAAATACTAGTGAAAATGGTAAGTAAAGTAGTTTATTTATACAATTCGATGAATAAGAAATAACGTAATCTGTCAATAAGCTTATTTCATGTAAGATATACTTTCAAGATAATTATTTAAGTAATCTTTGATATATTATTGTTAACAGGCTGTAAACAAGCAACATTCTAAGAAATAGAATGTTACTGTTTATAAATCTAATCTGTTTTTATTATTAACTTGATTCTTATTAAAATGCTTTGATTCAAATCTAAGATATTTTTAGTAAGTCTCTGGTTGTTATCAGGTTGAAGTACAATGAGTTTACGTTATATAACAAAATGATTATAAGAATTATTATTTTTGTTTTCATCTTATTCAATCTCCTTATCTAACTATATGTGATCAAGTTTATGGAATAAACAATTTTGGCTTTGTTTTTTAAATATCTAATATTAACCTTTTTATTTATAAGTCTAAATATACCATTTGTGGTGACATTTATAAGCACGGTATTAACTGTACATGTATTATGCCTACATGAAATACAGTGTAATGTCGGTTACTATGTTAAGCCCACATAAATTATTCTTGCTTCTGAACTGGTCAATTTATCCATTTTTCTTGAGTCACATTTTGACCTTTTCAATTATTCGCTTATCAACCTTGACTGCTTTAATATGAGCGTATGCGTGTTCATTGCTTATTCTATTCATCACATGTCTGCAACTTATTTTTATGTGACTATATATATAGGTTAATGCTTGTTTAGTCGAGTTGGCTCACACGCCTTATCCACTGAGCGTCATCTCGCTTTGCTTCCTTCGCTTCGTTCCTATAATTGTACAAAATATATGCATTTGAAAATTCGTTCTCGTATTTGACTCATTTAATTACGTTATTCACCAACACTATTGAAGTCGACGGTTATATACGAGGATTGGCGATATATATTTCTCAATGGCAATCAGAAACAATCCAACTGGAGTCTGATTTAGGGTCACCAAAACAGAAACACCATTACTGAGAGTTCTTTAAAACATCGTTTATATTTCAAACTATACTCAGAGATAAAAGGGATAATAAAAAATTTCACCCTAAAAGATGACAGCTCCCTCAATATTTACAACAATATCAAATATTTGAATGTTTCAAAGTGGTTTAAGTATGAATATTAAAAGCAACTTGTAAGAAGTTAAATTTTCGATAAAATTTACGAATTAGCTACTCCGTTAATCAACTTTTAAGTACGTGGTTGATGTTTTTTTCCAAGTTAAACATAATATCTGAAAAAATTGGTAAATTTAAATGGCCTTATTGTTTACCAGTTATAAAGATAATAATAAAATAAACAGATTAAAAGCTGTTACATTGATAACTGTAATTTGATGCATGCAACAAGTAGTGTAGATACTATTGTTGCTATGTCAAATATGAAAAAAATTTAGTCATATTAGAAGAACTCTAAATAATATGTAGAATATAATTAGACTACTAGTTGACAACTGATTCACAATCCTCTAATTAGCTGATCACTTGGAAATGTTCTGCCTTACAAAAAAGACAATATATTTGCTGTTTTCTTTAGTTTATTAATGTTTATTACATTGTTATAACACGTTAGAATTGTTTTTTGTTGTATATATATATAAGTAGATAGAATAAGAGATTAAAGAACATGGCAGTAAACATAAAATTTATCAAAAAGATTGTGAAACTAAGGAATGAAGTAATTTTTATAGTTTGGTGGAATTTTTGCTTAATTACCAGGTAATAAAATGCTAAGTATGAATAGTTGTTTGGTGTTACAATGTTCCGCTAACACTTCTTTATTAATCCATAGTGTATTAATTAGTTATTACATAAAGGTATGTGTATAATACCAATGTCCATAAAACAGAGTATCAGATATCAATTGACATGGTATTCTTTTCTTATCTCTCTTATCCTATGTGTTATACAATTGAATATCTATATACATAGTAGTTTAAACTGTAGATGTGCAAAAACCATTTGTTTTTATCACTTATAATGTTTTATCAGTTCCAGTTAAAACATGGAAACACATTTGAATTTAGCTAAACAATGTAGACTACTGATATTTCTTCATATCATTTCATTCAAGTGTGTGGTTTTTGATATATTTAAAACCATAGCGTGGAATTTTAGAGGGCCAATCTAGGCCTAAAATGATTGATTAAATATTTAGATTGCTCTGTTTTTTATTACCTTTCAAGCTAAAAATTAATCCTCAACTCATGTTATTGTGTAATTGAAAATTCAATGAAAAATAACGTTTAATAAAATAATCTAAATGTTTTTATGAGTATATTAACACTGCTGATTGCAAATGTTTAGTCATTGATTGATATTAATATTTTGTTTATTACAAGCTACCTAAGTATTCAACGATCACCATATAGTAGAAGAAAGTTGACATCCTTAAATGGATTTCAATGATTTTCATTTATTTTTACGTAAAAGATTTAACGACGATAAAATAAAACTTACAATATACACTTAATTTAAAAGATGAAATATGTAAGTTAAACTGATTAAGCAAATATTGAAAAAGTATCAAACTAATTTGGTTGTATTTCTAAGCAGAATATCGATAGATAGCGGAACCTTCAAGTTAGTTTGATCTTAATAGATGGTTATTAAGTAGTTCGTTTAATAAGTTAAATATTCAGAAGTTTTGACAAATTGTTAAATAGATGGCATTATAAAATTCAGCTAATTGCGTTAAAACCGGAAACTAAATTTCAGTGAATATTTAGTTGTCCTTATATAAGGAAGTGAATTCAATGTATATTAATTATCACTTGGTAACTATATGTATTTTGCCGGAAATTTACACAAGATATCAACTAAAATGCATGAGTATAACTGGATTCCTGATCAAAATGAATGAACAGACTGGAATGTTTGTAAAGATGTTGTCAATGAGCAGACTAAATGCCATTCTTTATCGAGATCATAAAACTGTTTGGAAGGGAAATCAGTTAAACAGTACAGAATAATAATTTACAAAATGTTTTAACAGTTAAGTGTTTTACACATTATTAAAGACATAATGAGATGCTATTTGGAACTTCGTGTTACACATAAATAATGATTACTGAAAAAAACAAACGAATAATTTCAACTAATACCCCTTTAGATTCTAATGTTTTTAATTTAATTGTATAACCTTATTATTAGTCATTTTAGCTCTAGGTGCACTGTCATTTGTAATCAACATACATATATAAACAAGGTAACTGTAAAAGCACTTTTGTACAGTGAAACACTGTTTTATATTGTACAACATTGTAAAGATATTCGTTTGAGACCATTTGTTAATACTCTTCAAATATATCTAATATATATTTCAAATCAAACCAATCATTAATTGAAAACCTAGATATTCTGGATAAATATATCATTTTAAGTTTAAACTCTCAGGAATTACCCATTTCGTATTTGTGTACATGCTTCAGTGAATGATCTTTTACTTCTACAATGAGCAATTTAATAATTGGTCATTAAACAAAATAAATCTTGTTTTACATTTTCAGTTGTTTTTTCTCATTTCTTATTATAGTAAGATTATCAATCAATAATGACAATTGTAATCCATTTAGAACCATTGAAATGGTTTACCTAAAACATCTTTTCTTTTCTGTTTACTCTAAAACTTAGTTTGTTCATTTTTGAATGAACGATCATGCTACTTATTTTAATCGTATTTAAAAATCATTTCCGGAAATAGAATGGAATGAGAGCATAAAAATCGATTTCAATAATTAAAACCGCATAATTAAACTAATTCAATAACATTGGAATATCAGATTTAAGTGATAGATCACATAAGTAGCATATTAGATCTTTAAATTACATGTATACAGTTTTTTTTTAAATGTTTACTAAACACATGTTGATGTCATTATTATAAACCATTGCGAAATTCCAACTACGTTTAGTGTGAAATAAGAGAGTGAACCTTTTTAATTAGATTACTGTATATAAAACCAAAGCATTATACACTTAAAGCTTAAAAATGTATTATCATATTAATATAATTATCATGATAATTAATCGGAAAAAGAAATATATAAACACTTGATATATGATGTGCACTGCTGATGAATCACATACTAGGACAAAACGGCCGTTCAGTGTTTCTAGGTTTCCAAGGGTGGTCTAACTTTAATGGACTCATGAATACAACTATGAAAATAAGTGTTTATTATGAGAAAATACAGT